AATCAGGCCCTAAGTCAGGGGCCTGAAATTCCTCTGCCACATGTGTGGCAAGCCAAAAGCTCTTATGTGGGCCATCTGCAGCCACCTCCCAGGATTACAGTAGCAGGAAGCTGGACTAGAGAGCAGAACCAGAGTTGGAACCAGGCAATCACAGGACAACAGCTTCCCTTCCACCCTATCCCACCCCAAGCTTCTTAAGCAACTACATCTTATAACAGGTTTCTAACTGAATTGCTGGCTCGGTGTTCAGCTTCCACTCAGCTTTGCAGCTGACATCCTGGGCCTGGGGGCAGGTTGTTGTCTCCCAGGCATCTACCTGTGCCCAGGCCACACAGTGGGGCCCCTCTGGGCACACGTCTGTGTCTATACGGGGTGTGTGCTGCTGTCAGAGCATGTGTGCCCCAGGGCCCTGGTTGTCTGCAGCTTTGTATATTCCCAAGACCAAGTGAGCCACAGCCCAGCCACTGGTGGCACTGCAGGGGACTCAAAAGCCAGGATTCCAGATTCCTCAACTTCCCACTGGGCCAGAGCCAACCTTGAATACCATGGTGTGGGGAAGAAGAGGGTGCCAGAAGCCCTGCGTGTGAGAGGCGGCTTTAACATGTGCCACTCCCAGCGGCCGTTTGACGCAGCGGCCGTTTGACACCTCCTACTGCAAGATACTGCCAACTCCCAGCACCCCCAAACCAGATTTTTCCTCTCCCTTCCCTGCCTTGCCTCATCTACCAGAGCACTTTGCCAACCAAACAGCTCTTGGCAAGGAACAAGAGACCCCTCCCCATCCATCCTCTAAACCCTGGCTCTCAGGAGGCAAGTGGCCCTAAGGACAAGTCTCACTGCCTTGATTTATTTTTAAAGACTTTTAAAAACTCATTTGAAAGGTAGAGTTACAGGGCATGATGGCTCAGTAGATAAATTGCCTTTCAAGTACCGGGAATCTTATATAGGCGATGGTTCTAATCCCAGCTGCTCCACTTCCTATCCAGCTCCCTGCTTGTGGCCTAGGAAAGCAGTAGAGGATGGCCCGAAACCTTGGGACCCTGCACCCACATGGGAGACCCATAAGATGTTCCTGGTTCCTGGCTTCAGGTTGGCGCAGCTCCAGTCATTGCGGCACTTGGGGAGTGAGTCAGCTGATGGAAGATCTTTCTGTCTGTCTCTCCTTCTCTCTGCACATCTGATCTGCCTTTCCAGTAAAGATAAAGAAATATTAAAAAAAAAAAAAGAGAGAGAGAGAGAGAGAGGTATGTAGAAAGAAGGAGAAACAGAGAGAAATATCTTATATCTGCTGGCTTACTCCCCAAATGGCTGCAACAGCCAAATATGGACCAGTAATTCTGTGTCTTCCCATGGGTGCAGAGGCCCAAGCAGTTGGGCTGTACTCTGCTGTTCTTCCAGGCATATCAGCAGGTAACTTGATCAGAAGCAGAGCAGCCAGGCTTCAAACTGGTACCCGAATGAGACGTTAGCATTGCAGGAAACAGCTTTACCCACACTGCAGCTCCCACTGCCTTGATTTTTTTTCTTTTAAACAAGCAACTAAATAAAAGGGTCTCATAAAAGGGCCAGAGAGAGGACCCGGTGCAGTAGCCTAGTGGCTAGAGTTCATGACTTGCATGTGCTAGGATCCCATATGGCTGCTGGTTCTGATCCTGGCGGGCCTGCTTCCCATCCAGCTCCCAGTTTATGACCTGGGAAAGCAGTAGAGGATGGCCCAAAGCCATGTGGGAGACCCAGAAGAGTCTCCTGGTTCCTGACTTTGGATTGGCTCAGCTCCGGCCATTGCAGTCACTTGGGGAGTGAATCAACGGACAGAGGATCTTCCTCTCTGTCTCTCCTTCTTTCTGTATGTCTGACTTTCCAACAATAAATAAATTAATTTTTTAAAAGTGGGGGCCAGATAGGGCTGGCTGCACCTAAGCCTTCCCTATCCTCCACTCTCTCCCTGCCCTCATCTCTAGCAACAGTAGGGCAGCTAAGATCCAGCCACTGCCAAGACAGGTGGAAGTCCAGCTCTACAGGCTGTCCCAAGGCCTGCTCTCTCCTCCCCCTGCCTGAATTCCTTTGTTTTGGGTAGAAATTACCCATCTCACCACATGTCCTCTTGAACTCCTATTGGAGTCAAGCATGAGTCAAACGCTTGTACTCAGTGATAACATCAGAAAAAAGCTCTCATCAAGCATAGAGAACATGAGATAGGCTCCAGGCTGGCCAAGGTGTTGGGGGCAGGAGGGAGCCTGGTTTGTGTAGAAGCACCTGCTTCTCATCCTGGAATATCACAGATCCCGGGCCTCCTCTGGGAAGCTGCTCTCAGTGCAACTCAGCACACCTGTGCTGTGTCTCTGTGGCATCAGGAAGCACTCAGCATCCTACAGGGAACGCAGGTGGCCTAGCACAAGAAGCACACCATCCAGAGAGAGCACGGGTGTCCCAGCCCTGGGCGCCGTAGCGCATGTACTCACTGCATGAATGGAAGGCACCAGAGAGGAAGTAGGAAGAGGGGTTAAGCCGAATCTGGAAGGAAGCGTAGGAAATCAGATGGGCAGACATGAGATGAAAGACCTGCCAGATAAAAAGAAGTTACCCTCAAAGTATAGGGTCGGGAATGTGTCAAGGTGTGGGCAAGCTGGGAAAGATATACCTGGAGCATCGGCCTGGACGTCAGAGGACTCTACCCAGAGGACTCTACCTTATAGGGGTATTGAGGCTTCACTAGGGAGTTTAGATGTCACTCCCAGAGGCCCTCTAGAAAAAGCCATACACAGGGTTTTGACCACACAGGCAAAAAAAAAAAAAAGTGGGGAGCTCCAGCTTAAAGGCAAGGAGGGCGGCCTGCAATGCACACCCCAAGGCATGTGGTTCCAGGGAAAGCCTGGGGGGCATGCACGGTCACAGTGCTGTTCAGAGACACCCCCTGGCATCCCTGTGGTTCTAAAGTTCAGCAGCATCTTGCCCCAAGAGGACCCACTGGCAAACCCCTCCAGACATGGCATTGAATTCTATTGTGTGAAGCCGCTCTGACCCCAATTTCCACTCATGAACCATATCAAGAAAATGTATTTTTAATACTTATAATCAGCTTTGCTGTTAAATGTGAAACTGAAAAGAGGAAAAAAAAAAAAAAGAAAGAAAGAAAGGAAAACCACTGCTGTGCTCACGGGTGATAAGGTGTCAAGACAGATGATGGATTTTGTGGACTGGAATCTCATCCTGTGCAGAGGTGGACAATGAGGGCTTGGGAGGAGTCGCTGAGATGAGATCACATGGAGAGACTGCAGGCTCGGGCCTCAGGGTGAAGATAAGCTGGATAGATAACACGGCAGAGGGATGCTGGTGGGGTTCTGTGGCTGCACTATAATGCCTCCCACCTCCTTCTCATGGATCCACCCGCCCAGAGACAGAAGACAGGATCCAGGAGGGAGAAGGGGTCTGTGGCGCTCTTGGGAGGAGGTGTGAACTGCAGTTGCCCCAGGGTAGCAAGAAAGTCCTGTGGCAGCCAGCGCAATTATCCCCTGCTCACAGGCAACCCTTGCCCTCGGGAATCAGGAGCAGAATGAGACCACCTGGAGCCCAGGGGCCAGGCAGGATCCTCATCTACCGAATTGTCCTCTTGATCCCAGCGGAAGTGAAGTGTCACGGGAGGGGGTGGGAAGCACAGAGCCGGGAGGTGAGGGAGAGCAGGTGCAGAGGACAGCTGTGAGTGAAAGGTATGAAAACAGGCACCATGTCTTCCTTTGCGGTTAGCCGGGTAAACAACCTGAGCCGGAGCGTGATGAGGTGGGAGGCGTGTTGGGGAGAGAGGAGGAGGATGGGGAGGAGGGAACTTCCGCCCACCGCGCCTGGCAGGCACACCCCCTTCACTTGGAGCAGTGGCCTCCCTCTGTCCCCTAGATGGCGGGGAGGAGTGGTGGGGAGGGGAAGCGGTCTCCTATAGTTCCTGCTTATGAGCTTATTTGCTGGGAGTGGGAAGTCACAGAGGCTTGCCCATGCTGCCCTTGCAGCTCTGCTGGATGACACAAGTATTGACTCTGAACTGGACAGACAGCGAGCCAAACCAGCCTGGTCCTCAGCAAGACACACTGGTTAAGTTAGCATCCCTGGAGTTAGTGCAGACTATACCAGGTGGGAGGCTCTTTCCACAAGTTCAGTGGTCATGGAGACCAAAAAAACAGGGACCAATCAGAAAGAAGCCAGCTGGCCACATCAGCCCCAACCTGGCCCACACCTCTGCCCCCACCCTGCCTGGGGAACAGGGGGTTTGAATGCCTACTGTTCAGGACCAGAAAATCTGGCTTCTTGTCCTGGCCAATCTAGTCCCCACATTGCATTCCTGATGCCAGCCCCTAAGTGTGCAGGCTTCTGTCCCCATTCACAAAGTCATTTGTAAGTGCACAGCCTTTTAGAGGCCGGAAACACATACCATCCCAGGAGGATATAGACCTTTCTACACATGAAAAGGTGAGGTTGGCCATGGCAAATTAATCAGCAGACTCTTGGCACCCGGGTTAGGACGCTGCTTGGAACACCCTTTCCTGTATGTACTACAGAGCCCGGGGTTTGATTCCCAACTCTGCTATTAACCCCAATACCCTGATTAGGCATCCCTGGGAAGGAAAACCTGATGGCTTGAGTAGCTGGGTCCCTGCCACCCCCTGGGAGAACCAGCTTGGATCTGGACAAGTCCTTGGCTGTTGCTGACATTTGGGGAATGGCAGCCATGTCTCTGTCCCTGCCTCTCTAATCATAACACAAAAAAACTTTTAAGGAGAGATAAAGGCCAAGCTGCTGCTTGTGATGCTGGCATTCCATGTGAGTGCCAATTTCCGTCCTAGCTGCTCCACTTTCAATCCAGCTCCCAACTAACGTGCCTGAGGAAGCAGCAGACGATCGGCTATGTGCTTGGTTCAAAATAGCCTGGATTGACAGGGAATTGTGGGTTCCCCCTCGCAGGTGGAAAACTGGGTATTCAGTTCTCACCCTCCGTCCCCTTGTCTCTGCAGTACAAGGAATTCCTCAACTACAATGACAGCACAGAGCCCACACCCACGGAAAATCACTTCTGCTCCACCGCCGAGGGACCCCTCCTCGCCTCCTTCAAGGCCGTGTTCATGCCCGTGGCCTACAGTCTCATCTTCCTGCTGGGGATGATAGGCAACATCTTGGTGCTGGTGATCCTGGAGAGGCACCGGCAGACCCGCAGCTCCACCGAGACCTTCCTGTTCCACTTGGCCGTGGCTGACCTCCTGCTGGTCTTCATCCTGCCCTTCGCAGTAGCCGAGGGATCCGTGGGCTGGGTCCTGGGCACATTCCTCTGTAAAACAGTGATCGCCCTGCATAAGATCAACTTCTACTGCAGTAGCCTGCTCCTGGCCTGCATCGCTGTTGACCGCTACCTGGCCATCGTCCACGCCGTGCATGCCTACCGCCACCGCCGTCTCCTCTCCATCCACATCACCTGTGCCACCATCTGGCTGGCAGGCCTCCTCTTTGCCTTGCCGGAAATTCTTTTTGCCAAGGTCAGCCGGCCCCATCACAATGGCTCCCTGCCACGCTGTACCTTCTCCCAGGAGAACCAAGCTGAAACCAATGCCTGGTTCATCTCCCGCTTCCTCTACCATGTTGGGGGCTTCCTGCTGCCCATGCTGGTAATGGGCTGGTGCTATGTGGGCGTGGTGCACCGGTTATGCCAGGCCCAGCGGCGCCCCCAGCGGCAGAAGGCAGTCAGGGTGGCCATCCTGGTGACCAGCATTTTCTTCCTCTGTTGGCTGCCCTACCATGTCGTCATCTTCCTGGACACCCTGGCCAGGCTGAAGGCTGTGAGCAACAGCTGCGAGCTCAATGGCGCCCTCCCAATGGCCATTGCCATGTGTGAGTTCCTGGGCCTGGCTCACTGCTGCCTCAACCCCATGCTATACACGTTTGCCGGCGTCAAGTTCCGCAATGACCTGTCACGACTGCTCACCAAACTGGGCTGTGCTGGCCCCGCCTCCCTGTGCCAGCTCTTCCCCAGCTGGCGCAAGAGTAGCCTCTCAGAGTCAGAGAATGCCACCTCGCTTACCACCTTCTAGGCCCTGGCATGCAACCCTCCCTTTGTTTCTGCTTTCCCTGGGAATTATTTTGGGGTAGCAGGAATCCCTTCCACCAGGAGCCCAGGGCTCACCTTTCTGGTTGAACAAATCCTTCTTTCTAGAACATTTCCCAGAGCTCTTCTTGCAGCCCTGGCATGAGGCTGGTGCCCTGGGAGGTGGAGGGCAGGAAGCAAAGACTGTCTGCACCCCCTCCTACCTGAGCTGGAGGACTTTGCCCATTTTTTTCCACACCACCTCCCCTGTCCCCAGCCATCCCTAGCTCCAGGAACAACTGATCAATCCCCAGTCCCACAAGGAGCCACCTGTCATCTTCGGGACTACAAATCTGCACAGCTACTCACCTGTCCTACCCCACCTGGTCCAATGAAGTCAGCAGAAGCCAAGCATCAGAGGCTGGGCAGAAGTGAAGGCTGCAGAAAGGCCAGCTGGCAACTAAGTGTGGCCCTAGCACATCATCATGGTTGCAGTGCCTTCCACGCAGATATTCTGCCAGGGCCCCACCCTGCAGCAGCATCCCAGGCACAGTAATTCGGGCAATTGCCCTGGTTCAAGCACAAACAGCACTAGGTCAGCCTTTGGTCTTGAGTCCTGAGAGGTCTTTAGACTGCGGAAAGCCTCCAGGTGCCCACAGCCATCAACCAGTGTCCCCAGGAAGAGCTAAGGGCCAGCTGGGAACGGAGCCCAAGAAATGGCAGGAAAGAGTTCTTCTCCAGCCCCCAGCTGTCTTCTGAGACCAGGGTCCAGGGATTCTGAGTGCTATGGTTGGGCAGGGGAAGAGGACATAGGGAGGCAGGACCCAGACCCCTGGGAGTCCTAGGCAGTAATGGGGAAGGATTCAGAAAAGGAAATCCCAGCCACCAGAGTGGGGACTCGGCTGAGAGGCAGGAGAGAGATGGAAAACCCCTGAGATGAAAGACAAATGGACAGAGAAGGGCCTTCTCCAGCCCCCGCAGATCACCTGCAGCCCTGCGGTGTAAGAAACAGACCTGGGCAGGGAAGTCCCCGGACCCCAGGAAGCCCAGCCCTTGGGGGACAGCACTCAGATGGAACCAGAGGAAGCTACTCCGCGCTTGGGGGCACTCCAGGCTCAGGGTGGCGGTGCAGGAGGGGCCCTTTGTGCCCCCCCACTCCCGACATGCTGGTAGCCTGTGGCTATGGATGGAGGTTCAGAGCTCCTACTGAAGGCCCACTAATTTCCACCAGGTGAATTCTAAACTTTGACCAGGGTGCCAGACCTTCAGCACACAACACTGAAAAAGCCCAGGGGTCCCTCCCCACCCTTGTCTATCCTCCCAGCATCTGAAAGGAAGCTGGATCTCAAAGGAACCACACAAGGAAGGACAAGACAAGAGGTTGCTGGATTTTAAGTTTTCTTTTTAATAAAAAGGCACCTATAAAACAGGTCAATACAGTACAGGCAGCACAGAGACCCCCAGAACAAGCCTAAAAATCGTTTCAAAATAAAAACCAAGAAGATGTCTTCACATATTGTATTTATATATTTATATTTATATATATATATTTATATAATGGTACAAAATGGCTGGGGGTATGGCCATGGATGAAGGGAAGAAGGCTGGCCTGTGGTGTTCACCTTGGGAAGCTAGCGGCACGGGAGGGAGAACCGAGGGGACCAGGGCAGGCTCTGGGGCCCTTGACGGTCTGTGCTCTCTCTCCTCGGGGTAGGAAACAAGAGTTAGACACTTTGGGCAGTCTTAGGACAGAAGTGGAGACTCCCAGCATGGGGCCCAGGCCATAGCAGGGCTCCCCAACCCAGAGGCTCCAGCCACGGCCCCTGAGAGGTGCTGGGGTTTTTGAGACCCGGTTGATGGTGGACTAAATTGGACAGCACCAGACTGGGAGGAGTGGGGGAAAATTCCCTTTGTAATCACAGCTGCCGGGAAGGCTGGGGCGGGGCCCTGGGAGGAGCTACCCTGTCTAGAAGGGCTCTTCGCCCCGGAGCAGGTGGGGAGCAGGGCACCAGAGGCCACGGCCCCCACCCGACCCCTTCTGCCTCATAGGGCAGGACAGGAAGTGAAAATGATTTTGAAATCCTGGAGCCCAGAGCATATGGCTTCTGCTCCAACCAGAGGCAGGCTGAGGTTGGGGTGAACGCTTGCTTCTCCAGGGGAGAGCAGGAGGCTGAGGGGGGAGCATTGGCTGCACCTGTCAGTGCTGGGCGGGCAGAGAAGAGGAGACAGAATGGAGACAGCCCCTGCGCCCCTCCCCTCTGCCAACACTCCCCATTCCTCCCCCCGGGAGGGGGATGGGGGAGGGCAGCCTATTGACTCAGCGGAGCCCAGCTCTTTCCTTCTTTGGTAAGGAATGGCAGGTTCTGGAGAGTCAGGGTCCGGGATGGGGTGGGGCAGGGCGTGGCACCTGGACTGGGGTACTATGGCCATAGGCTCCCCATGGAACCATCCCCTCCATGGCTCTACTCAGCTTTTGCCTCCTTCTCTTTCCTACATCCCTGCCTGAGGATGAAGGGCTTCAAGTTCTGGCCAAGATGTAGCAGCGGGGGCAATGACCTTCACAATGAGAATCCAGGGCCCCACATCGCAGGTGTGGGCAGACAGCTGTGCAGGTGCACATCTGTTCTCCCTGAATCACTCAGTCACCACTGGGGGGTCTTGGCCCTGCTGGGGGGCTCACCAGGTGGAAGCCTTGGTGGTCTGGCCTCAGGGTGGGTGTGGAGCATCTATGTCATTTCACCGTTCCAGGAGGGGACAAGAATGGACTCTCTTGTGGACAACAGCAACCAGGGGATGGGTGTGTAGGACTGTGTCCCCCTGGGTCCTGGGAGATGGAGGGGCAAATATCTGAAGAGGGTGGGGGGAAGGTTTCTTTTATCCTCTTTTTGTGTGACTTCTATCAAAACACAGAAATACAGCACACACACAAACCGGCACAAAAGCCCAGCGCTCTATTTACAGCTGCGGCTGGCACCTGTCCACCTGGCCAGCTGCCTGCAGGGAGGGGTGAAAGAGGAGGGGTGAGACAGTCAGCAGGCGGTGGGTGTGGAGAGGAGCAGTGGGCGGGGGGGGATGCTGAGGCAGGAAAAGACAGAAGGAGGAGGATGGCATAGTAGGGCAGGATAAACCAAGACAGGAGACAGCAGGAAGACAGACCCCCCCCACTCCCTTAAGGATCCAAAGTTTAGCAGAATGAGGGGAAGGGGGAAGACAGGCTTGCAGATTAAGAGGAAAAATAGACTCTATAGGGGTTGGGGAGAGGTGAAGGGGCAGTCCTGGTGGCTGAAATGGAACCGACACAGACCCAAACCCCCCCCAACCCAGCTCAGCCACTTCTGCTTCAACTGCCAGTACATCTGGTTGCCACAAATGCCACTCCCCCACAAGCCCCCTCCCACACTCTCCATCCTACCCCTGGACCCCGGCCATCCCAACATGGGAAGGGAAGAGACTTTTTTCAGATTGGCCTATTGGAAGCCCCAGCTCCGCCTCCTCACCCCACTCCACCCACGCCCCTCGGGGAACGCTAGAAGGGCAGGTTGGCCATGCCGCCCGGCGCCGGGAGGTAGCCCATCTGGCTGTCCAACGAGACACTGCGCTGCCGCAGGGGGTGGGAGGATACCATGAGGTTCTGCTGGGGTGGGGGGCCCATGAGGGAGCCCTGTGGGGAGAGCATGTGGGGGGGCTGGCTGTAGACCTCACCTCCCACACCCCGTTGCTTCATCAGCATGAAATTCTGCTGGGCCATGAGGCCTTGTGGTGGGGACATGACCCCCTGGTGCAGGCCATGGGGCACCATGCCCTGCTGCGGAGGCACTGCTGTCCTGCCCAGCAGGGACATCTGTCCGGGGTGGCACATGGACATGTTGAGCCCCCGCTGGACACCCTGCTGGCCTGGAAGGTTGGGGGGCCGAGAAGGGGTCTGCTCCGCCATCATGTTCTGCAGGTTCATGAGATGCAGATTCGGGGGCTGAGCCTTGGGGGGCTGGTTCTCGCTCTTGGGAAAGTACTGTAGGGTGCTGCTTGGCTTCTCAGAGGGGATGATCCTCGACAAGTCGAATTCAGGGATCCCCGTCGGGGTGGGCCGGATCACCTCACTCAGCTCGGGGTCGTTCAGCACCGACGCCACCCCTGGGAGTACGCCTGGCGGGTAGGCATCGCCCACACGCCCAGCCATGCCTTTGCCCATCAGGTGTTGTTGGGAGGGCATGGGGCCCGGAGGCTGGCTGGGCAGGTCCTCTGGGGGCAGGGGCATGCCTGAAGGGTAGTGCTGCTGCAGGCCAGGCCCCCCGCCCCCACCCCCAGTGGGTGCCATGGCACCATGGGGCTGCTGTAGCCGTGGGGGAAAGGGCATCATCTGGGAGGAGCTGGGCACAGGGCCGCAGGGGGCGTTCAAGGAGTCTGGGCCTCCCGGGGCCATCATCATTGAGTTTTGAGGGGGCCCTGTTGTCCCTTGAGCATTGGGGTGCAGTGGAATGTTTGAGCCCAGGGGTGTAGGGGAGGGCAACATGGTAGGTGGGGGCTCATGGGTCAGGGGCTGCTGGCCTGGCAGGTTCATGGCCATGGGACTCTGGGCTGCGGCCGAGTTCAGGTGCATCTGATTGGGCTGGTTATTGCTGATTCCTGTGGGCACAAAAGGACAAGAGTCACAGCTGTGTTCATCCAGTGGAAGGTGGCAGAACTCAGTGGTGCCCATGCCCAGCTGGTGGTGCCAAGCGGACAGCCATCACCATTACCTTCCCTGCAGAGTTCTAAGCTAGATGCCAGGAGCCTGCAATTGTGGTCACATCTGCCCCTGACATGCTGCAGCGTGGTTCCCTAGCTGGCTACAGTAGGTGCAGCCAGCACCCCAGGACCTCATCACCCCCTTCCACCTCTCCCACCCAGAAGCTCCAGGGAAGCACAGAAACACCAGCACAGCCATATGACTGCACATCAGCCATGCCCCTTGCCCGTCCTCACACCTGGCCCAGAGCCCTGTGGTGGTGGTGGCGGGGGCAGCAGGGGCCGATCGGGTAGCAGCTCGTCGTCAGAGGTGGCGATGGTCTTGATGGCGTTGTGGTAGAGCGGGGTGGAGCTGGGCATGGCGTATTTGGACATCTGGGACATCATCAGCGACAGGGGGTTCTGGGAAGGTGTGGGGTCTGGGGAGGAAGTGAATGGCAGGCTGGGGTTCATGAGGCTGTTGGGAGGAGGGTTGGCAGGAGGCGCAGAGGAGCTGTTTCGGGGGCCGCTAGGTGGGAGAGCACCTGCAGGAAGCAAGGAGATGGGAAGAGAATTGAGGGGGAGGGTTGTGACTAGGAAGTGAAAGATGAGCTGGGCCATGTGGCATAAAGGAAGAGCTTAGCTCCCCACCTCCCTCTGACTCCCCCACGCACACTCAAGTCCCAGCGAGTGCCACAGCCCACCCTCTCCCCAAGCTTGCAGCTCCAGAGCCCTGAGCAGACAGATCCCAAGTCCCAAGCATGGCTCCTCCAAGGGCTTGCCGAGTCACACCAGTGTTCTTGCCTGTTGCCCCACTCACCCTGCTCCATGTTGCCCAAGGGTGTAGAAGAGTTCATGTTGAGAGGCGGCTGCTTGTTCTGGGAGACACCAGGGCTGGGCATGGCCGTCTTCGGCGAGGCAACCCAGCCCGGAGAAGGCACCGCCATGGAGGGAGACTTGAGCCTGCTGGGTGAGCCGGTGGGTGAACGGACACTAAGGGAGGAGCTGAGGACCTGTGGCGACTTGAGGGGTCCTGATGGATTGGCGGAAGGCAAGGGCACCATCTGCGAGGGTGTCTGGGGTGACTTGAGGTTGGCGGAGGGTGAGGTGACAAGGGGCGAGTGCACCTGGCTAAGGGTAGGCGACTTCAGGTGTCCCATGCCCGGCGAGCCCATCTGATTAATACTGATGGTGAGGTCTGAAGGCCGCCTGCCCAGCCCCCGGCTTGGGGCAGAATGCACAGGCCCAGGGGGAGGGTTGGACGCTGGGGGCAAGGGCATGTGGCTGAGCCGGGTGGTACCCACATTGCTCATGGGCATGGAGCTCTGGTCAGGGCTAAACATGTCTTGGGTGTTACCCATGTCCTGGGGCATGGCTTGGTAGGGCCCCTGGCCTCCTGAGAAGCCCTGCTGACCCTGGTTGGGGAACTGGGAAGGCATAAGCATCTTTTGCGGCCCGCCCATCATACCACCACTGTTCTGGGCCCGGACCCGGGCCATCTCCTCAGGACTGAGGCCCTGGGGTCCCATCATGTCCCCAGGACCCCGCATCTTCTGAGACATCAGCATCTGCTGCTGTGGGGTCATCTGTACATTCAGGTTCATGTTCATGTTCATATTCACATTCATATTCATGTTGAGGTTGCCTGGCCCCATTGGGGGGTCCACCTCCCTCAGCCCAGACTGTCCCATGGGAGGGCTCAGGAGGCCACGACCCCCGCCAAACTCCATGCCCATGGGAGCGCCTGCCAGGCTCTCGCTGCCAGCCATCTGTCCAGGAAACATGGTGGGGTCCATCTGCCGGTGCGC